ATTTTGCAGACACTTGTTTCTCCTCAATAAAAAGAAACATGAGTTCATTATTGTTTTAAGAATAAATAGTTCAGATAGTCAATATCCACAGACCTTTATCATAATGTTGTTTCTGTTTTCCAACTAATTCATTTTGTTCTTCAAATTTTCTTCAGTGTTATTTAATTTCATTCCCTATTTTAAATAAAATGGGCAATTTTACAAGTAGCTTTTGGCTCTCTCTACAGCTGTATCACATAAGACATTTTTATTTAATTTTATAAAAAAACTTACTTTAATAAATTTTTATCTTAAGATGTGAAAAGCTAATTGAAAGATAAATATAAACACAGGTTCTCCTTATATCTGACATTTATTGGAGATGAATCACCATAGCACTAGTTTTGAAAACTGCTAGGTAAGGTTTAAGTGGTTATTCAAGTTTTCCCTAAAGTTGCTAGCTGCAACTGTCAATCGCAAAACATATTTGCAAAATGTTTTTCTGGCTTCCCAGAAGTGGATTTAGACATTACATAATTGAAAACAACTTCTAATAATAATTTAAAATGACAGCTAATAATAGCTAGTGTTTTCATAGTGGTTTAAGAATTACAAAGCACTTACAAATATTAATTAACTCATTTTATCCTCATAACAACCCTGGGAGGTAGATGCTATTATTATCCCCATTTGACATATAAGTAAACTGAGGCAAACAAATGTTTAGTGACTTGCCTAGAGGCACACAGCTAGTAGGAGTCTGAGACTGGATTTCAACTCAAGTCTTCCTGACTCAAAATCCAGCACTATATCCTTCTGTACCACCTAGCTACCCTCATATCAATTTAGATATTTATACATCAATAAAACCCACAAGTGTGACTAAATTATTCAAATACCTAGCATCATAAAGAAACCTTATTTACTGAGATATAATCAGGTAAGGGCTTGGAAGAATTTCAGGTTCATCTTATTTGTTTCCTTTCAGGCAATACGCCTGACAGATACATATAAAACACCATGAAGAGATCAGTTTATATTCTTTTATTAAAGCTATCCAAATAAAGTGATTCCATTGCCTTCTTTAGCAACTTGTTAGAGCATCTTCCGACCCACAAAACTAACCTAAATCCTTCTTGCTGGAATTTAATCTCCTTTGCTTTTAATGTCTCCTTAGTGTACTCAAGCACTAGCTGGACACTGCCATTTAATGTAATAACACTTTAACTTAAAGGCCATTATTAAATCAGTGTTCAACCTTTGCTTCTAAAGTTAAATCATTCCAACTTAACCTTTTCTCATAAGATCCATTCATTCCCTTTAATAAACTTAAATGTTTGATGCTATCATTTCCTCAAAATAACTAGCCATAGTCTACAAAGAAAGGCTTCACCATTATCAAAACAAGCCGGATTACTTCATTAATTTTGAATGTAACTATGTAGATACTATAACCATTTCTGTAACATGTCACAGGCTATTCTAATTCTGGTCCTATTTGAATTATTCAGCTCCTTTTATGCACCTGCATCATCAATGCCCATGTTGTCTATTCATTATCTAAATCACTGATAAAATATCTTATCACTGAACCGCTATGACCTTTTGAAGACATTATTCCTAATTGTTGTGCAATGTTCAACAATGAAATAACCCTTTCCCAAACTTGTGTAAGTCTCTAATAAGGAACAAAAACAAAAGCCCTATCCATTAGTTATTATAGCATTCACCTTTTCTAACTAAGAATAGTATGGCTATCCTCAGAAATAGGTTAGTTTAGACTTTTTCACAAAGGCTGCTAAGTAGTTGCAAACTGATTCTCCGATGGTATAGGCTCTTCATTTATCTTATATGCTTACATTATATATTAAACACTATATACACTGAATAAAATCCAATCAGAAATGCACAACCATTTCTTTCAGGCTCTTTCCAAGTGTTAATCTGATTGGTAGGTGATGCTTAGAGGCATTCTTTTTCCATGATCTTTTTTCGGAAAGGCCCAATTTGTGTCTTTCAACTGCTAAGGCTACCCAGCTAAATAATGCTGTGATAAACTTCAGAAAAACCCCTATGTTTCTAAGAGACACCTTAAACCTGCTGATGTGAATACTTGTTCTAGCTTGATTTATTTCTATACCACCACAAAGCACAAGCTTTGATTCTGATTATAGCTTATCTCTCGAGAAAAAAATCCATTTTTTGTATTTTTTTAAAGCAACACTATGTCCTCAGCTATGTTTCCTTTCTTATACAATGAGGATATTATTGTTGGTCTTCCTTCAATGCCTGGTGAATTTAAGTAATATTTTAGTATTGCAGTTAAATAACCTTAGCTTAAATGTTCTTTTAGGGTTGTTTTTGTTTTGTTTTGTTTTGTTTGAGAAACCAAACCTAAAGGTTTAAGAAAAAACCCAAACCCTTAGATTTGATTTCTCTAAGTGTATCTTGGATCTTTGTATTCAAACCCTTGAACCTGGTTTAGTTTTATACTTCATCAGACATTTTGTACCATATGCAGCTATTGGATTTTTTAATTAAGTTTCTTTTTTTCCAACATCTCCTAATACATTGGGCAGTTGGGTCTTTTGAACTGGTAATTATCTCTTTAAAGAATACCAGACTCTCCCATATTCCTGTGTCTTCTAAGTATATATTCATCTTACTACTGCCACGTGTAGGCAGGGGTTCATTTTATTTAAATTCATCTTCTCAGCTTCTCAGGTGACTCTCCTTTCTTTCATTTTCTTCTTAGTCCTCATAGGTCTTGATCACTTTCAGTAAGGCTGCCTGTCACTTTTCAGTGCTTAACCAAGTCATTTCTGAAAACAGAATTAAAAAGTAGGAAACTCTGATGTCTGATTTCTAGCTTTTGAATCCAATTGCTTTGTGGCCATGTGATCTCTGCCTCAGATTTCTCATATTTGAAATGAGAGTTATAAAATTACCCAAACTCAGATAGGAGGAATACTCTCATTAATATTTTGGAAAAGTTTTGAAGGCTAAACATGCTCTAAGCCAGCTTATTTCCTCTTGTAGATTTTTCAAAAGCTTTGGAATATAAACATTTGAATGCAAAATTAATTTTTAAGAAAGCATAATGAGCTACAATGTAAAGGATTAAATGACATTTTAGTTTATAGAGAAAGTCTTTGCTTGATGCTAGCTTCCATGAATCCCTTTAACTCAAGAGTTCTTCACCTGAGCTAAGTATAGACATCAGGTTTAGTATCTTAACATTTTAGCAATATTACATTCCATCTCCTATATCTGAATTTTTTAACTTGGGTTCCATGGATAGATTTTGGGGGGTCCATGGATTAGAAAAATATTCCTTTACTTTCACTAATTTCTTAGCATTTCCTTCAATTATTTAAAAACATTATTCTTAGGAGAATGTTGGCTTTCCCAGACGCCAAAATGTTCCATGACACACTTTAAAAAGTCAAAGGATGCCTACTATAATTTTTGATGAACAAATTAAATTTGTAGGTGACTATGATCAGGAATCAGTATGTGAGGCACTAAGAATAAAAATCTGCAATAACAAACAGAATTTACTACTGAGGAAAAGACATCTTCCATAAATAAGATAAGCCAAACCACCTTTAGCAATAAAAGTGAAGCTTATTTTATTCTAGTCTATGTCTGGGAAACAGAAAAAATAAATAACAAAGCTCAATCCCGTTTTTCATTTATCATCATAACCATTTCATTTATGGTGATTGGGTAATTGGGATCAGTTATAGAAACAAAGTGAAAAGATTGGCAGTGCCATGCTCCTTTTTACCCATCGCATATAAAACAACTCTCTATAGCATTGTCCTTTCAGGAGTGGGTGCTAGACAGCTACTGTGACAACTGAAGCTATAGACATTCCATCAAAGAATTTCAAGCTATTTAGTAAAAAGAGAACATTTTCTTGGACCACCCACCCTCCCCTAAAGCCTGGTCAAAATCCTTATCAGTAGCCAAAATTGTCTTTTGCTGTGGACTAGAAGTTTGAGGGCTGTAGAAGAGATTAGCCACAAAGAAAAAATTGTTGTGAAAGCCACAAATATCACAACTTGGGTTGTGATGGAAGTTATTACTATTCTTGAATTTGGCCTTAGAAAGCTACAAATAAAAATATATCTATACCAGGCTTATAACATCTAATAGAAATAAATTGGTAATACTTAGTGGGAACTTCTCTAAAAACCATAAGAATGAGATTACTTTGGGGCCATTTTCTCCTCTTATTACAATCCTTGTCATATGAATAGAAACAAAAGTCAGAATCTATACTCAAATTAGGACAGTCTAGGCAATATATGCCAGGATATTTCAATAGAATACATCATAGTGACAGACCTGGCTGTCACCATGAATGAAATTCAGTAAGTGAAGAGTTGCAACTAAGAAGAAACACATTGTTTTAATTTAATAAACAATTGTTTATTTCTGTTAAAATTTCTTAAAATGTTTTAATTAAAATCTGTTAAAAATTTCTTAAAATTTTCATAGATAAATACCTTGTGATTTCCTTTGAGTTTTGTTATAAATTCAAATTTTATATAGGCTTATAGTTTACAGGCTGTTTTTATTTTTTAATATCACACCTATATGGCATCGATTGTTCATTGTGGTCTAAAATACTTGATCTGCAAATAATTATTAGAAATTAAAGAAGTATTTTTACTGTTACCTACTAATACTTAAAATACATTCCAATCCCCCAAGTTCTGGCATGATTCTTAGAGAAAAAAGCTAGTAACATAAAGCAAGATATGCAGGCTCAGAATTATCCTCAAACACATGTATGTATATGTATATATATACATATATATATACACACACACACACACATATATGTATGCGTGTGTGTGTATGTATTTATATATACATATATATGTAAACTAGTTACATTATGGGATTCTATATTGTATTCTATAATAATTCTGTATGTGCTCCTAAATACCATTAGGGCAATATTCTTGAATAATCCTTCCTGCCTATTTGCTATTAGAGAAAAAATAATGATGGGTATGGAGAGCCTGCCTTTCACATCAGAAAACTCCATTGGCGACATCCTGGGTAAGCAGCAGAGCAGTAGGTTCCGTGGCAGAGGAAAGTATATCTGGTCACACTGGAGAGGAGGAAACAAGTGAGCAATGAACCAAGATTTTCTAACAACTTGTCTTAATGCACAAGGGGCATGGGAGAGAAGGTATATATGCCACTCACCTCAGATAAATCCTCCATGATTACAAAATCTTATCCCCAAGATAAGAATCTGTGGATGGCAGGATTATCTATCTAGTTTTCTCAGATGCACGAGTCCTCAAGGAGTTTGTCTTAAATCAGGATGAAGCCATGACAAAAAGGGAAGAAAAGAAAAATTCTACACAGAAGCTAGATTTCTCCACTAAAGGGATACCAATTATTCCACACACACCCCATCCTCTACCTCGTATGTAGTCAACCCATCCTGTTAACCCTTGGCTACTTCAAGCTAGCCCATCATTTAAAGATGACATACTCTTGTTAGGGGCACTTTGCAAAGCTTAAAACGTGAGGTATCCAGCCAGCTTATCACTTCTCCTCAGATTCTGACTGGGGACTTACATCAAATAAGCATCCAGGGCACAAAGGTCATGGGATAAATAAGAGGAAAGGCATACAAATCTGGCCTGCAGATGTTGCTTATCTGGAATTTCCATAGTTGGTATATCTTTCCCATATGCAAATTCTTCCTTGAATCATATCCGTGATATGCATGGATTATAATGAGAGATTCAGGAGGGCATTTGAATTCAGAATTCGACCAGTAACAGTCGGTTGAGGTTTTTTATTTTATTCCAACTTTAATGAAGGAAGAAGCTAAACTTGCCATCTTCTATCTCAGTCTAGGCCCAGGGCCAAATTCTGTCCCCTGAAACATGCTGCATCCAGGATGGCAGAAAGTGACCCAAAGCCCTGTATTTGGGTACTAAGTCATTGAATTTAGTCTTATCTGAGTTACGTATGTACTGGACATACCTAGTCAGTGTTATCATTTAGAACCATTCTTTTCTTCTTCTGTTCCCTCCTAATATCACCTACTATAAATGATTTCTGATTTTTTAGGACCTTTTAATCATATCAAGTCAAGTCTACTGGGATCCACATCTGATTCAAATCTCAACAAATACAGCACCATCAACAAGATTCCTCAGCTTACTTTGAATTTTTCAGACGTCAAAACTGAAAAAAAGAACACATCCCCTCCATCTTCTGAGAAAACAATTATTGCACCCAAGGTTAAAGATCGAACACACAATGTGACAGAGAAAGTTACCCAGGTAGGTATGCTTTACAATCAACTTCCATTGAGGCTTTCATTCTTTCTCTTCTTGCATTACTTTGTTGTGTGGGAAACATATTTCTCCCTAACACAATTAGGATTAGCAGTAAATGCATGCCTTTTATCTACACTCTCATTCATCTCAAGATAATGGATGATCCTTTACACATCACAATAAATACTTCTGTGTAGTGAGAGTTTATAGACTTTAAAACTAAGCCAAAATGGGTTAACTAGGAATTGTTGCAGGGTGATTTCCTTTGTTTTGTTGCAGTTAATATGACCTTTATCAAGTTTTTATATTTATTGTTTTACTAATAAAGGATTCTGTTTTAATATTATAAATTCCTCTACAGAAATTCTAGTTAGCTAATTAGATAATTATTTTTGCACCAGAACAATTATTTCCTTGGTAAACCCCCAGGTCAGAGAACTTCCTCTGCCAACATAGATGGGCAACAGTTTTGCAACTTGAAATCTTAGAGTTTCCTGAGTCACTGATAGGTTAAATGATTTCTCCTAGGACACACAGTCATTACATGTTGAGGCAGGTTTTGAATCCAACTGTTCCTGATTTTTAGGTCAACTCTCTATCCATTATCGACAGTGGCTCTCAATTAGAGACATGCATACATATGTGTGTGTGTATGTGTGTATGTATTGGTGTAAGTATGTGTGTATGTATATAGATATATATACAAATGCATATACATACATATATATATATATATATATATATATATATTACATATCAGCATACATATGTATATATATACTTTGTTTTGCTATTGCCTCTGCAATATTATAGGTACTGTTAGACTTCATCAATTCAGAATGATTGGGGGAAAGCCTCAGATAATTTAGTAAATATATATATATATATATATATATGTATAATATTTCTTTTAAAATAGAGTTCTATAACTTCCAAATATATAGAGTCATTTGAACTGGGTGTAGAGGAGATCACAAGGCTATTTGTAGGGTTCAAATAAGGTAAAATAAGTGCTTTGAAAATATTATGCAACTATGTAAATGTTAGCTATAATTAATTAACTCTTAGATTTCTACTGCGCAGTCATGTGAAATCACCAGCCCACATTCTTAGGGCTCACATATAACTCGTGAGACCCTGAATGTATATGGTAAAATTTGGTCAAGACCTAATGGAAATCAAATGGTGGATCAGAGAGAACTTGTCTTTTTTCAGCTCTTGTTAGACTTTCCTTGCCCTTTGCCAAAGATTTCTAAGGGTATATGCTATAGATATATAGGAGTATTATTTTAGCCTAAAGGTATTATTTATTCTATTTACTTATTTGATGTGTTTAATAATTATGTCTTCAAATGATAATACCATTATCATTGTTTTCTTTTCATATAAGTGTTGCTATTTCTTCAAAAATATAAAGGAACTATTAATAAGATTTACAATGAATTTCAAACATTCCCTAACTGCAAACAATAGAACAGAAAATAAGAGAAAAGAGGAGGAAGCTTAAGGGAAAATAGTAAACAAGAAGTACTAGAGGGTAGATACAAAGTAGAAGGAGTAAGCAAGAATACATCTATAGAGCAGTAATTTCTACATTTATTGCATCCTATCCGAGTCCTTGCTTTTTAGAATTGCTAACATTTCCTTAGTGAAGGAGCAAGGCCTTCATGGGATTTAGAAATTGTCTAATCTAACCTTCTCATTTTACAAATGATTAAACTGAAGACCAGTGAAGTTATATGACTTTTCTAAGATTACACAGGCTGTAAGTAGCAACGTCGTCATTTGAACCTGGATCTTCTGACTTCAATTTCAATTTTCTTCCCTTAATATTCCCACCCATGTTATTCTCTTCTCTGATCTTGGGGCCCATGTTCAGGAAATGCTTCCTTACACTTCTTCATCGTTTCATATGACCTTGCTTAAGGATGCAATAAAAATCATTGCCTAACACTTGTATGGCATTTACTATTTCACAAATGTATCTTATTTGAGCCTCAAAATAAGCTTGTGAGGCAGGCAGAGCAAGGATCATTATGCCCATTTCATATATGAGGAAAGTGAGACTGAAAGAGGTTGAGAAACTTGTCCTTAAGTCTCACATCTAGCAAGTGGTCAAGTAGGGATTGGAATTTGTTTCCTGAATCCTAGTCAGATGTGGTACAGTAGAAACAGCAAAGAACCTGAGTTCAAAATTTGCCTGAGCCTCAGTTTACTCATCTGTGAAATGAGAGTTTAAGACTTAATGGGCTCTGAGGTACCTTCCAGATCTAGATGTGTGATTCTGTGAGTCTGTTTTTCTCCTGTGTTGAAGCTCACATACAGTAATATTTAATTCCGTATATACCACTTACTAGCTGTGTGACCCTAGGCAAGTCGCTTAAACTCAATTGACTCGCCAAAAAATTCCATCTGGCTAAAAAGATCTTTAGTTGTCATTTTTCCACTCTAATACATAGAACCAAGAACATGGGAAGAAAGAGTTGAAAGAATGGGAAAAAAGCTACTTTGTTTGCTAGCAACTCCATGGTGCTAAAGGTCTTCAGTGGAGGGGAGAATCCCCAGCTATAACTACCTCACCAGGGATGGCACAGCAAAGCAAAAGGCAAATTGAATAGCTGCTTGAACTCCTGAATTCTTGAGGCTGGTTTATTTCTAGCCAACAATGTAGGAGTATTATAGGGTTATGGTCAGAGGTTGTGCTGGTAAATATGTAATACTGGTTCCCTAAGGGAAAGGGGGTGAATGTATGTAGAATATACTTTCAAGTTTAATCTGAATTACTAACATTTTCTCCATCACTTTCTAAGTCCAGACCATCAACAAGACAATAACTCAGTCCCTGATTTGTAACATTTGCCAACTTCCAAGGCTCACACTGAACATTTGTAACAATCTGCTCGAGTCTATAAGACCTGGTTCTATCATATCTCTGCTTATGGTGCATCTTTTCAGTTTTTATGTTCAGATTTCACAAGTCTTATGTTACAAACTATATTTTTGAATGTTGCTTTTACTGACACTTTCTACATCCCGAGATTATATATGTGGTGGATTATAAAGAGTGAGAGTGTGTGGGCCTGGGATTTATGTAGGTGGGATAGTTGAAATGTATATGACAAGAACTTCTTGGTGTTTTCTAGTACCTAAGAAATAGTTGTTACCTAGTAATGATTCATGTCTGGTGAGAATTCATCTGTCTTGCTACAGGGGGTACAGTGGGATGGATTTTTAAGAAGTTTTGGTCTAAAAGCTTGTATTCTCACTTGTAAAATCTGAGTTTTGTAATAAATAACACGTATTGGGAATATATGTCTCCATCTCAGAACCCCCTTTGCAGGTTATCTGAGCCAACGACCTATGTTAGAAAAAAGCCTAGAGTCCCAGGGGTGGGGAACCTAAGGCCTCATGACCACATGTGGCTCTCTAGGTTCTCAAGTGTGGCCCTTTGACTGAATCCAAACTTCAGGGAACAAATCCCAAACCCTGGACAGAAGGTGTGGGTGTCACTACCCAACCCCCACCACATACTGACCATTTCCTGATGTAGAACTGGCCTTGAAGGTAGAAGAACATGAGTAAATTCATCCAAAGTACAATAAGACATAATTATAGATAAAAAGATCAATAGTTAGCAATGAAGTATTATTATTATTAATTGAGAGAGAAAAAGACTGAAGTATATAAATAAAAAATTAGAGTATCATCACAATCATTATTACCATCATAAACAATAAATATTTATGGAGTGGCTGTATAAGAAATGGGACCCTGTCCTTAAGTAGGTTTGTAATCTCATTGGGAATAAAGATCATATACATTAAAATAATAATACGCTATACAAACTAGCATATTCTAAGTGCTAAATAACTGGTATATACAATAATTTTTATTAGAGAAATTCAGGAAAGTACCTTGCTCATCTTCCTGCTAGTCTCACTAGGGGTTGAACTTAACTAGATTGCTATATATAGATAGCCATTATAACTAAAAAGCCCTTTAGAGACAAACAGTAAGCAAAAAATATGTATTAAGTACTTACTATTTACCAGGCCCTTCTAAGTGCCTGGGATACAAACTCAAGCAAAAAAAAAAAAGGCCATCCCTGCTTTCAAGGAGTCTACATTCTAATGAGGGAAAACAATCTACAAAAAAGGCACCGAAATGCATGGGGAGAAGGGGGAAGTCCTCACGGAGGTACATAGTGTCAAAACACACAGAAAGTCAAAAGTAGAGAAAGGAAGGAAATGAAGGTTAACTAGTTTGAACTTTCCCCCAAAATGGCAGCTCTAATAGGAATTCTCCAGTGGAAGAAAGGGGCTAGCATGGCAGAGGACATTTAAAATGAGAAAGCCACAGGGGACCATGGATATATCACGATTAGAAGTCCTGAGGCTTCCAGGATGTTGAGGGAAATTCCAGGATAAGATTGCGACTGAGGCATGGTGGCAAAGTTTGAAAAGTCAGAGCCAGGTGGAGAATGGAGAGAGAATTCAACAGAAAGCTACAAAATAAAAAAGCGAAGAAGTGGCATGTATAATAACAAGGACTTAACCTAAAAAAGAGTTGGGGGGAGGAGGATTTTTAAACACATTAGGAGAGAGTGTCTTTAAACACTTTACTAAGTTTCTACAACCGTATTAATGAGTAACTAAGGAAATGAGTTAACACTGCATTACAAAGGCTAAAAATAAGAACTTCTTGAGAGTTTACAGGACTAAGAAATTCTGAAATAAATTCTCTGTAACTCTTCAAAAAATGAAAGTGATTCCTATTCATTTGGGAAAGTTTACACACATAACAGCTTGAAAGAAGGAAAATAGGCCAGGTGATCTTCCAAGACACTTTCCACCATTCACTTTTATTAAGTAATAATAATACCTAGCATTTATTTAATGCTTTAAGGTTTGCAAAGCACTTTACAATTATTTATCTCATTTAATTCTCCCAACAAACCTGGAAGGTAGATGCTATTGTTGTTTTCACAAAACAAATAAGGAAAT